ACACACACACACACACACACACACACACACACACACACACACACACACACACACACACACACACACACACCATTAAGCATGGTGTAAAACAGGAAGGGGTTGTATCCCCCTCAAAGAGCAGCAACACAATCTTACGTTTTCTGATGATATTAATAAGTCTGTTAAGTAACTTGGATAACGGTTTACTTAGTTATTTGATTATTTATTCGTTTTTTTTATTATTATTTATTCATAATACTGGAATAATGGAAATTGGGTTGCAAGACAGTTGCTCCATTTTACAATAACTACAAAAAAAGTTATTAACAAATATTTTAGGGTTTTCATTTATTATAATTATGCGTATTATAAATTGATATGTTTTATACATTATTATTATTATTTTAATTATTATCACTTATTATTATTATTTTTATTTTTGTATTATCTTTTTGCTTGTTGAATTGATTGGCTACATTAAAAAAACATTAAATTGAATAATGCAACATATTTCATTCCTTTAAACCACCGTGTTATATATTGGAATACATCCCTTAAACAATTACAAAATCAGCTTCTAGCACGTTTGACTAACCCTAACAACTCCAAATTGTTGGGAAACCATTGAAAAAAAAACAGACTGGTGTTTTTTCTCATGATATATTCATTTCTTCTGCAAATGTTTTTTCTCGCTGTTCGAGCAGACAAATCTTCCTTCAATTGAATCCGACCCCCCTCCTGTGAAGCGGGGGGGGCGGGCGATCCATCACCAGCTCTCTTCCTCTGCTAATCTCTCTGGGCGTCTTCGGTCAGCAAATACATAAATCAATTATGGTTTTAAGCTTTATGCCATGATTTACCCAACTGATCCCTGCTGGATTACAGCGAAGCTTAAAAAACGTGTTAAAGCTATGAGTCGCGTTGACATTCATTCACGACGCTCGCCACGAAGCATGTTGAGACGACACACGGAAAGATTGGACAGAATATTTAAAAAAAGAAAGAAAGAAAGTGTGACAGGTAGTATGATGTCCTTTTTTAATCTTAACCCAGGTTACAAAACGTCAGGAAATGGGACCAAATGTACTCTAACTAAAAGTGTGATTATATGTTTTGTTTTATATACGTTTCAGGGTATCATATTCTGTTTTGTATCTATTTAATATTATTATTTCTTTACATTTTGAGAGCTGGTATTGTCATCTCCTTATACCATCCTGTCTTTGGCCTGTATTGTAAAATTTGAAGTGACTTATTTTCAATAAATCTGGTACTTTGGGTGACGAATATTGAAAATGATGTCCATATTGCGATAACATTTTCCATTAATTGTGTAGCTCTAATAGCTAGCATTAGCCTAGCATACACCTGTTGATATCTCCGCATCGCTGAATAATTCAAAATGGTATTTTAACAGATTTAACTATTGTGCGTCCTGCAATTTCAACATTGCACTCGTCCATATTGCAAACAAATGTACTACTAATTCTGCAGCGGTAATATCTAGCATTAGCCTAGCATTCACTTGTTGATAAAAGCACCAACTGCAGCTCCATAATACTTCATTTAAAATTGTTTTGAAACACGTAAATACCAAATATCGAGCGTTCTGCGATTGCAATATTGCACCATTCCATTTTGCTATGAGATGTTCAGTAACTGTGCAGCCCTATTAGCTAGCATTAGCCTAACATTCACTTGTTGATTAAAGCTCCATAATACTTCAACATAGAATACTCCCATACTCCATAATATAAATAAAAAAAGTGTATTTCAATACGTACATACCAAGTATCAAGCGTTCTGCGATTTCAATATTGTACCATATTGCTATGAAATGTTTAGTAATTGTGGAGACCCTCTTAGCTAGCATTAGCATAGCATTCACCTGTTGTGCCACATGTTTCTCTGAAGAGATGGATTCAAACTGTTCACACTAGCCTCAGTTTCCTACCTGAGAGCTCCTTTGTGACAGGTGGTGGTGAAGAGAATTGGGTGGGTTTTTTTGGGGGGAGGGGCACATTTTTTCTGACCAGCTTCTTAGCGTGCTGGTATCACTCCATTGGGGCCCCTCGCCAATCTCTGGCTAACCATTCAAGTAGCAACAAAGAGGCTAATTAGAAGCTCTCTCGCTGGAAGAGCTCCGGTTTGATACTTCCCAGGGAGGCTCAGGGGCCTCCGAGGTGGCAGGGGCAGGTTTTTTTCACACACACACACACACACACACACACACACACACACACACACACACACACACACACACACACACACACACACACCTCTATTATTGGCAAGGAATTAAAAAAGAGAATTCATCCTGTGAAAATAGGCTGTAGCAAAAACAACCTTATCATTTAAAATAAGGCCTGAATGATTTTTCTCCCACAGCGGGGGGGGCTATTTGGCAGAGAGCCCCCCTCTCTGATGTGTTTTAATAAACAAGACCCCTGACGATTGTTCCCTGGTGTTATTTTGAAGCGTGGAAATTAGCCCTCTCCTGTTTTCAACGGTCTCTGGACTCATTCCTGTTGGCAGAACATCTCCACCCTCCAAAACAAAGTCTGTGCTGTCACTGGCTCCGAGGACTCGGACCAAACACCACGTTTCTAATTAGCTTTGTTCAAAAGACGGAGAAGGGTGAATAGGAGGAACATGGCTGAGCACCTTAATTGGTTAATTACGAGTCTGTGCAAATAACCCGACCGAGCTGATCTGGGAAAAGCTGTTTTTCTTTTTAGCAAAAGGTCAAAAATATCATAGCTGTTTTCATATCTCTTAACGAGTGTTTCTCAGAAGACACCGGGGAAAGATTTCAACACATTTCAGGTTTGACTGATGTGTTTGCATCACCTACTGCTTTGTTTCTCGGCACATCTTGGGACTTAAATGGCATTTTGCTGTCTGAATGCATTTGGAGTCTTTCTGATAGGACAGGAAGACATTTATGGAACATAATCAATAGATCCATATCAACCCTCCTTTTTCTCCTGCCTTTTGTTACATCAAATAATGAATATAAGGAAAATAAAGGATTTTGTTTTTAGGGGAAAATGATGAGAAACTCTGACATACCGTTTATTAAGAGTCAACATATTTGATAGACAAACTGCTTTGGGTTCATAAACACCAAATGCTTGAATGTGCTTTATTTCTTACTTTGGCTTGTTTTATTTTTAGTATCTTTAAATGTCATTTTATAAATAAATTGTTCATGCTTTTAGTTTTTATTTTGAGATTCTTCATTCATCTCAAATTGGGAGACAGTTATACATGAGTAAATTATTACAAATGAACAGTAAATATATACAGTACATATCAACAGGTATATATTAAAGGTGGGGTAGGTAAGTTTGAGAAACCGGCTCGAGATACACTTGTTGTTATATTCCATGGAATGCTCTTAACATCCCGATATCAATAAATACATTAAATGCTTTGACAATAAATATATAGAAACATTTCATCTCTGGAAGCCGTGGCGCTGTAAAAAGCACGACCAATCATCTGAGCCGGCCCGGCTAAAGTAACTGGATGGCCTACCTGCCTGTCAGCCTTCCATCTGTGCACAAACTTATCTCGTGCCCTCATTGGTCATGTGCGCGTTCGTGTGTGTTGGAGGAGGGGCTCTGTGAGGAAGTGGCAGATTTTCTCCGGTTGTGTATTTTCAAACTCCAGCGCACTCGAGCTGGTTTCTCCAAAATTACATACACGTATAGTATACTCTATTATAGACTACTGCATTTTAAAAAGAATGGTATCGTTATAGCATCACAATCCTGCAAGTTATCCCCTTTTTTAATAATGTAATAGTAATCTGATTACATTTCTATTTTGTTGTTACGTTTAATCCGTTACCCCCCTTGGTAGCATGAGGTATATGTGCAACATGTTCAGGGTTATCCAAGTTTTTTCGCAAAGAATCTTAAGTGCAATGTTGTTGAAATGCACCGTATAAATAAACCTGCTTTTCCATGACTAACTCTGAACGTTAAAGCAGACGAGACCCCGCGCTTTGTATCTGAACGCAGCCTAAAGCTCCTCTCTTGTAGGCGGATGCAGGACTCTGCTCCTGAGATGAAAACGGAGACAGGTGCTTTTTGCTCTGTGATATTTCCTCCGTCTCCCCTCTGAAAGGTTGCTGTCTCTTCCCTTCTGTTTGCTCAGATGTGGGCAGCAGGGACCCGGGGCGAACCAATCAGATTAGACGGTGACAGTGACACGGCCAAATGATCTCCAGAACCGCAGGCGGGGGCAGAAAAGGGATGTTCTCCCTCTGAGAGTGAGTCACCGAGGCCCGTTTGCTCTCCTCAGAGGGTTTTAAGGTGGATTCGGTGTTTTAAGGGAGATCAGGGAGTAATGGATTACATGTAACAGGAATCAGGATAAGAAGAAGTAACTCTATTCCCTTACAGTTACTTAAAAAACATCAGGGTCCATGTCTGAAAACTAGGGGCAGGATTACATTGTGATAACAAAGGCCATTATATTATAGGTAGGCGTACTGCTTGAATTTTCTTTAGGCTTCTTTCAATTTCTTAATGTTAGATATCTTTTTGTTTTTATGCAGCAGTGTTTGAAACGGGCTCGTGGAATAATGGATTACATGTAACAACATTTTAAAATAAGGATCGTTATAATATAGGTAGGTGTACTGTTTGAATTATATTTTTGGTATTAGTTTAGGCTTCTTTCGTTTATCGTTATGTTAGATATGTTGTTTTTTAAATGCAGTAGATGGACATTTATTGAACAGAAACTCTATTCATGTAAAAAACTGCATTTGTCAAATCTATTTTCTAGCGCTCTAACACATTGTACGTGATAGGCTAAGGGGCGGGACATCTCTAAGCGTTGACCAATCACAACAGAGCCGGCCAGCTAACTAATCAGAGTAGACTGGGCTCTGGTTTCAGACNACACACACACACACACACACACACACACACACACACACACACACACACACACACACACACACACACACACACACACACACACACACACAGCACACTTGGGTTGGCCCTTTTGGCTGGAGCACATTTGCTCATTGTGGCCGTCCTCCTTACGGTCTGCCAGAGCAATAGAATCAGAGAGGGGGAACCGACACATCTTCTTTCATGTGGCGGGCACGCAGAGAGGGGATGCTAATGGGATATCGATGGGATTAGAACCCAGAGCGTTCGGGTCCAGGAGAACAGAGGGAAGGGCTCCGTGAACTAGAACTAAAACCCACTCAGCTTCAAGGTCAGATCATCCCAAATCTATTGACTTTCTCTTTATTTTTTTATCGGGAAAGCTGACAATGATGCATGCACCTTAATACAGTCAGAGCAGAGAAGATAAGGTCGGGGCTGCAGGATTTAAAGATATAACATTGTTGGTGTTAGTATTGGATAAAATAACTTAATGCGATTATTTTGACAGATATTGTAATTGGGATGTGATTTCCAATATCTAAAAAGGTGATTGAAACATTCGTATTATCTTTGGAGAAAATGAATAAAGATGTGGTTTAATATAAGAATATCCGTTTATTGACATTTGGATATTTGAAATGTTGCATCATATTTAGACCCCTATTTAAAAAAATAATGCTTTTAAATAACCAATTGTAAAGAGGCCCTATTCTGCTTTTTGGGGTTTCCCTTCCCTTTAGTGTGATTTTTTTTTTGTGCATGTAAATGGTCTGCAGAGGCTAAAATCCCAAAGTTCCGGAACACGGTGACATCCCTATGTATCACTCCTATTGGCTAGCGCTCCAACACATTGTACGTGATAAGGC